TTTTTCACAATTTATTACACAGAAAGCCAAAGGGAGAAGTACATAATACTGTATGAAACCAGTTTTGTTCTCATCTTAACATTCTAAAATGTATCCAATGTTGTAATACCATTTTTTTCCAGCTTAATATATTCTATTATATTATAGTCCTGCAACCCTAAACCCCTATATAAATTTATTATTTTCTATTAGGCAGGGTGATTTTATACGTTTAATCTAAGTCTATTGTACTAAGTCATCAAATGAAATAACTGATATAGCATATACGATATTTTTACATTCGCGGGATTTCTAAAAGTAAATGCTAGAAGACCTGTGAAACCGTTCCACTGGCCTTTATGAGGGTAAAAACAGGACATTTAGATGTGTATTTATTTTATTCTTTTTTGCGCAGACTAATCGGTTGTAATTAACCTATAACTATCACCAAATGAAATCAAAACATTAAAACATGATTAAGTCGACGCAGATATAATTTGACACGTACAGTTTGTAACGTTTCTGGGGAACGCGTAGTCGGCTCTATTTTCTTTTGATGTTACGTTTTCCAATATTTATATGCCCTGCTTCTTATAGCGCTTTCCTGCTCTACCTGAGCGCTCAAATCGTGTTCAATTAACCCATTCTGATTGATGGATACAGCGGAGAGCAACTTGGGGTTTGTTTCTAAGTTATGCAGACTGAAGCGGTTAGGAATCAAACCACAAATCTTCCGAGTAATAACTGACATGTTCTACCTTTTGGGTGCCAGCCACCCTTGTGGCAGGAACCACTCCCGTAGTTCAGGAGGTAAAACATCCCACGTCCCTACCGTGTAAATTTCTTAAAATAAAATATATCAGTTTATGCTTGCTTTAGCCGTTAAATTCCATCTCTCACTTACTGTATGACATTTTATAACCTATACCGCTGATTTCGATTCATGGATTGCAGAAATATGGGGAAAATGAGACTGGGAATGTTTTAGTAATTTCACAGAAATAGGAAAGAAATAGGTTAGCCTAGGAAACTAATGAAATGTATCAATGAATACGACACAACATTTTCTTTTTCTAAAATAAATGATGTATTAGCTTTATTTGTCTATAGACTGTATTTAGATTAAAAAGCGAAAATACATACATGACAAAATGCCCTGACGAAGACCAGAGGACGATTCAGGCTTGAAATAAAGTGTACTATCCTCATAGCGCTGTGTATTTGAAAGTGAAAATATTATTATTATTATTATTATTTTCAGAAAAGACTTTTCAGTCTCTCTATGAGTCTGTTGACTTCTATGTTATTGAGAATGGTTTTATTTTTTTATTCACGATTCATTTTGAGTGAATTGCAGTCTGCTGATTTAACTCCATACCGGTTATAGTGGTAACATTGGGCCTCATCCGTGCGTGGCATCATCTAAGCAATTTTGAACACAACCATGGTGACACACAAGCACACGCAGACAGAGAGAGTGAGTTTCAAGGTGTGCGGTGGTCTTGAACTTGAAGTTGAACTCATTACAATATGTCTGTCTTTCTGGCTGTAACCCCCCAACCCACCCACCTTTCACGTTAAACTTGACCTTGACCTTCGGGGGCGGTCTGACATTTGACCCCCCCACCAACAGCAGACCACACTGTGGGTTAGAGTCGTACTGTCTGGGTGGTTTGTTTGTGAAGTCTTGTCTGCAATAGGCCACGCTGCAAGGTTTGAATATTTTTGAACAGAAGACTTCAGTTATACAAAGCAATAGCGTCGATTTGAGCAGGTGATTCATCTGCATTTACGTCACCACTGAGCTGTTTATTTCCTTTCATTTCTAAAGGACTATGTCTACTGAAGCATTTTTAAGCTTTCTACTTTGTTGGGCAAAATACAAAATATTATTTTAATTTAAAAATAAACCCTCAACCTCGCAATCTACTGATTCCTCGTCAGAATAAATTGGAAATAAGTAAAATAAATGCCAAACTAACATGGGAGATTAATTTTCCTTATGTTGATAAAAAAATATTTTTAAATTATTTAGGAATAGAAATTTAAAAATATCCTATCAATAATGTTTACGGACTATATTGGTGATATTTCAGAATAACAATTATAGATATTATGCTTATCATGGACTTAATGTTAACTGTGTAAATTTATCATACTGGCGCCCCATTCACTTGTATTTTCAGACTTATTCATTTGCTTTAAAACAACACAAGGAAAATAAATGTTGCATATGAATATAACTGATGGCAATATTGTGAATATTTATTTATTTATTTATTTATTCATTGGCAGCTTCAAGATTTAAGATTGTATTTGTCACATACACAGAACTATTGCACAGCGAAATGTTTATATAACTGTCAATAACAATTAAAGATATTACAACAAAAATATAGAATTAAAACGAATATTTTCTTTCCTTGTTTTGATATTGTGATAGTATAGTCATATTGTGACGGCAAGTGAGGATTGGACAGGAGGTTTAGCCGGTCGTCTACTGGTTTCCCCAACCTGCATGTAGAAGTGTCTGTGAGCAAGTTGCAGCCATCCGAGTGTATGAACATTACTTTAAAAGTGTTCATGCATAGAAAAAAGCACTTGTGTGAATGCTTGATTGAGACCTTTAGTAAGAAAAACGCTTCAAGTGCTCACTTTTAGTATAAAAGCGCTATATAAATATTAAATATAATAGTGTTTATTCGAGTTCACCTGATAGTGAGCTGGAATAAACACCGTGATGGTTACATGTGTAAGAATATATTTTAGATACAAGTTTTACATTCAGCTTGTGTTGCTAATTTTGAATTCTAATACATTTCAAAACATTTAAATGATTGCACAGATTATTATATTTTATTTATTTAAAGTCCATTATAACGGCTTATTTCTTTATACTGTACGGATCCAGCCACTGTTCTATGACCACAAAGCTCAAACAAAGACTTGATCTGGACACGTATTTCCTCTTTATGTAGCTTGGTGAGAAGTAAACTTCCGCATTCTTCACATTGTACAGGCTGTTGGCTTTACACGTGATCCTAAAGTCTGTCACTGTAATGTTACTGAAAACAAGGTCTGATATTAACGTGTTCGGATTAATTCTGCGGCACACGTAAAAGTGAACTTCTCCACCGTATATGCGCGTAATGGCGGACTCCCTGGTGAAAATGATGAAAATCCAGTGAACTCAAATGAGTGGCCCTACGCTTTTAAGCTGGAAGCTTCGGGTTAAGAGCTCATGGTAATGTGTAAGGAGTTTATTTTACCCACCACATTTCTCTTTAGATCTGCTTTCTGTAGATAATGAACTTGAACAAAATTATTCTAGAGTGAATAAAAAACTGAAAAAATGCTTAATCTTTAAGTTTCCTTTTAAATTATTTGCAGAAGAAGTAGTCATATAGGTTCATTGCAGGCCAGAGATAAAACATGTATTGAAGCAAAATAATGGTTCCTGTCTGCAGTATTTCATTGACCAACCATTTCTTTTCCATGTCTTCATGTTCATTAATAACCTTTAGGAAATTCACTAATTTCTCACTTACGGCTTATTTAGCCTTCATGTATACGGCACATGGAGTGATTCAAAATAAAAATAATTACAGTAATTTCAGTTACACAATAGAGGAGCATCAGAAGGATTAATTTCAAACCAAGCGCAGACTAAGTTCCCGTCTCCTATAAAAAATGAGAACAATAACTTCCCCGTAGTGAAATTGTTTCTTAATATAACGGCCCTTGAGTGCCGCGGAAACCTTTCTGAGACACTTTCAACCAAAGCCGTTTTTCTCAAGGTTTAAGAACTCCAAAACCCTTCCATAAATCTCCTTAACGTTTACTTTAGTCAGAACGACTGAGAGCGAGTTAAACTAAAACCTGGTTTTTGACTAGGTGGAGAAATGTTCCAGTGGGTGCACTTATTTTAATAGCCAAACTTTGCTTTTGAAGGCTTGAAAACATTCACGGTAATGATAAATTAATAATACGTTTTTCATGCATTTGAGAAGCACCGATTTTAAATGTGTTCACATCTGTATAAAACTGAGCATCTGGAGTTCCATATTAAAGGAACAATAAATATTGAATAAATAAATAACATTTACACAACAAAATTTCAGTTTCTCTGAAAGTGTATAAGTTTCAAATCAGTTTGAAACTTATACACTTTACAGTTTACATTTTTGTTTCTTGTGGTTCAGGTGTGCTGTTAGTGTAGAATGGAGAGTATAGTTATTGAAAAAGTGATTATCTAAACGGTCAGTTCAGATATTGGCGAGTCGATTTCAGATATTGGCGAGTCCATTTGCACCACGTACTTTTATGCACGACACAAAAGAAGTTGGTCGAGTGATTTATTTTCATTGTCTTTCTTTCTTTCTTTCTTTCTTTCTTTCTTTCTTTCTTTCTTTCTTTCTTTCTTTCTGTTTTTAGGCAGACTAAGGTAATGTCACTCTTAGTATCGACCAGAGAACATCACATCACAGACTTGAGTCTGACGCAAAGGCAGCTGCAGAGACAAACTAAAGTAAACCAAACTACAGTAAGCTAAAGCGAATCTGCTCATTCCCTTCTCATATCACAGCTGGAAACTCATAAAATGCTTTTTCCCTCCTCTCACTGACAGTCCTCAACTAGTCTCTTCTACTCTTCTTTTTGCGCTTGTTCCATCACGTGATCACCCTGTCTCATCCAATAGTTATGCTCCCCTTACTTCTTGGTCCAGGGGGCTTGTTGCGTCAAGGCTGCGGCTGGGATGTAAGTGGAGATCCGGCCGGTTAGTGGGAGTCTTTGCTACCGAATGACACGCCGTCACTCCAACAAAGCAGCATACCGTGCTATGATAGTGCTGTACAAGTACATTTCTTGAGCTGCGTTTGTGTGTTTGTATTTGTGTGTGTATATGTATGTATGTGTAGTGAGCGCCAGTGATCAGCCTCATTCAGCAAATGTAGCAGCTTAGCGCCAGGAACGGACGGAGTCTGAGGCTTACGAAGGCCAAAACGGGGAAGGGTGAGCATATGACAGCCTCTTTAGTACTCAACCCTCGCTGGCCAGTGGAAACGGTAATGTTTGTGTATGACAACAACGTGGACGAGTTGAACAAGAACATGGAGGGGCTGGTAGGTAGCGGCAACTTTGCCGCTGCCACTGCAGCAAGCCAGTGCCGCAACATCATGGCACATTCGGCGGCCGCCGCTGCTCTGGGTGGCCACCCGTCCAGCTTGGTGCACTCTTCAGGTGGGTATTCCTCAGTGGATGTGTCCGCTTCAGGCTCCGGTGAGACCGCTGCCTCTTCGGGGAAGCAATGTGCGGCTGTGCCGCACCAGAACTCGTCGGCCGCAACCGCATTACCCTACAGCTACTTTGGTAACGGCTACTACCCATGCAGGATGGGTCGGGCTCCTCTTAAGTCCTGTACACAAGCGGCCGGAGCCGCTCTCAGCTCACAGTACATGGACACAACAGTGAGCTCAGACGAATATCCGAACCACCGGGCCAAGGAGTTCGCCTTTTACCATGGCTATGCCAGCCCATACCAGTCGATGGCCAGCTACCTGGATGTGTCGGTGGTCCAAACGCTCGGCACCGGGGAACCGCGCCATGACACACTGCTGCCCATGGACAGCTACCAGCCCTGGGCTCTGACCAACGCCTGGGGAGGACAGATGTACTGCTCCAAAGATCAGGGACAGGCCAGCCACCTCTGGAAGTCCGCTCTTGCTGGTGAGTACTGCTGCTTTCAAGGTTCATAATAACGATTTTAAAACAGTTAAACAGAACTCTAACAGATTTTTTGTAACTATGACGCAACTGAACATATTTATTTAATAAAAATTACATTTAATAACAATTAAGAAATTAAAGGATTGACATTTGTTAAAACAAAAAACATCTCGGATGATTAATTTGCTCCGATAGTAAATTATCGTCTTCATAAATTTGGACTAAAATTAGGCGGTTAATGCATCGAGTTTCTTTGCAAAAGCAAGGCAATAATGTGCTTGAGGTTTGTGATGGCTGAGGTTAATCACTGCCCTTGAATCCCCATCTAGTTTAGGGCGTCACGTACAAGTGAAAATTAACGTCATGTTGATTGGATCCTTGATATTGTGAAAATACCAACATGTTGCAGACTCTAACTTAGAAATGAGCCTTGCATTGCCATCTCTTGGTGCAGAGTGAAAAACATTTTGGTGTTTCGTTCAATATCGTTTATTAACCAAGTGAGATAATCATTTTATTGCTGGGGCCTTCCAGTTAATTTAATGGTTATCATAATGGTTATTATGATGAGAGACATGTTACTCTGCTGCCACTGCTAAAATTAATGAATGAATAAATAAATTAAATAAACAGGAAAATTTACTTTCATTATTAACATTGTAATTAATTCAATAATAATGATGGAAATAATTAATCCTCTTGGCCCAATATTCACAGTGAACAGGAAAAACCCTAACGCCCACTCCACTTCTCTCTTTATTTAACACACACATCGCACAAATGTAGAATTAAACTAAAAACACTGTAAACACAAAGTCAAGAGAAGACACAAAATGCTGTCCTTGTGACAGTCTATGTGGAGTAGAATAGATGCGTGCACTGTGTTTAAAGACGCCATTTTTTGTAGGTCAATTTGAACTTAACCCAGACAGCAGATATTCGTTTCCCGTCTGCCTCGCAGGATTGTATCCAGTCCGATCGAAACATAAAGTTCCCGTTCACTTCCTTAAAGATGCTAAATTGTGCTCGACAAATATTTTATCGGCACTTACACTATTACAGCAATCGTGGAGTGTAGAGCTTGAAAATGTATCATGGTGTGTGCAGCCCATCACCTTCAGACTGGCTTTTTCTCTTTGACAGATGTGGTGGCGCACCAGAACGACAGCTTGTCTTTCCGCCGAGGCAGGAAGAAGCGGATACCTTACACCAAGGTCCAGCTCAAAGAGCTAGAGAAAGAGTACGCAGCCAACAAGTTCATCACAAAGGACAAGAGGAGAAAGATTTCGGCCGTGACCAACCTGTCAGAGCGACAGATTACCATCTGGTTCCAGAACAGGAGGGTGAAGGAGAAAAAATTCGTGGCCAAAGTGAAGAGCAGTACTCAATAGCATGCAGGTCACTGCTCTTTGGACAATTCGTAACAGTTGAGATAATTAACAGTGAATGGAAAAAAGTAAAGAAACTGGAAGTGGGACCTCTCACAGACTGTAATTACAGAACTTTCCTGACTGCTTTGATAATATATCTGTCTAGTGTGTGTCTTCCACTGTCAGTGTTGTCCGTGCCAAGTAGCCTATAGCATAACTACTATGCTCTCCATACTGTTTATATCGCATGTAAAACAGTAACCAAATCACAGTGTAACACTAAATAAATTTTGTCCCACCCCAATAAAGGTGTTATGTTTTTAAAATAATTTTCTATGCCTTTAGGAGGCAAACAAACTTTTATTTAACATTGAAAACTGATATCCGAAATTAGACAAACAGCAGAGGAATCCATATTGCGCTTGTTGATTAAAACTGTTCACGATAGACCAGATTCACTTACCAAGTCTGCCTCTGGAGGAACGCTCCCTGTGGTGGAAGCCTGTCTCATGGAATGGCAAGCATTCTGGTTTTCCATGCCTGTGACAGAACCGCGTATGGGAGAAGAAGAAAAAATCATTAGTGTACTTATTATTATCATAGACATTGGAAATGTGTTTTAATATATCTATTTGTTAAAAAGTATTTATAAAAATATTACTTAAAAAATGCTAAACAAAAACTCTCGTTCCTTTCTTCCCTTTTTGAACATTCTATCCATAACATTAACATTACAGAGAACTAACGTGAACAGTATTTTAATTTTAAATAAAGTTAACTTAGCAATTCATATCAGTTCAATATTTCGTGAATAATTCGTATAATAATAATAATAATAATAATAATAATAATAATAATAATAATAATAATAATTCCAGAACAAAACTGAGTAGAGACTTCAAATCGTGTTATTTTCTTTGCGCTTTCTGCAAGTTCTTTTAGCCTGCACTGTGCGTGCGTTTGAGACAGACACACAGAGAGAAAGAGAGAGAGACAGAGACAATAAGGAGGGTGGGGGGGAGGGACAAAAAAGACCCTGACCTTGAGCGTGATGTGTGATGATGATGATAATAATAATAATAATAATAATAATAATAATAATAATAATAATAATAATAATAATAATAATAATAATAATAATAATTGATGTTCCGTGAAGATAATCCTAGAAGCTCCTGTAGAACAAAACAGAATTGTCTGTGCGTATGTATACAATTTTTTTAGCCTGCATTGTATGTAGCTCTCAAACACAAACGTGAGGGTGGGTGACCTTGAAAATCATGTGACCAGACAGGCTTGTATCAAGTCTTCCATGAATATTTTATAATAGCGGGGTGTGTGAGGGACATCACTAACAATACACACAATCTATACGGGCCACTGCCATGCACCACAGATTACAGCTACACATGAGTTCACCACAGTTTTTACTCGCTATGGTTTCAATGCGATGTCCAGCCCTTTAACATTAGTGTGCTTTCTGGCGATTGGGATCTGTTTTAATTTACATAGTCTGATTGTGTGGATGCAAGACAAAGTATACTTTGATAACTTTGTCTCGCATATATGCGAGACAAAGTATGCGACTTTGGCAATCGATAAATGCCACTCCATTTCATAAATGTTCAGCACTGGTGAAGTCAAAAGATTTCTGATGTGAACTTCTTGCGCGACGCTGAAATCTGAGTCCTCAATCTGAAAACCATGAGCAACGTTTTTTGAATTTAACAAATCCTTTGACTGTGTTTTATGGGCGATAAACCGAGTTCTAAACATTCACGTTAATGCTCAAACATAACTGAAATGAATGAATAAACTATTATTATTATTATTATTATTATTATTATTATTATTATTATTATTATTATTATTATTAAGAACTGGGGCACCGGACCTTGTGTCGGATCTTATCACCTCTTTACCAGACACACAGATTGTGGTTAGTAGGCTTTATAGATGCAGAATATGCTGAGTAGTTTGATAACCACTTCACTTAAAGGTAATTTGTTTGGAAACGCACACAATGTGGGCTATCCTCAAATAAATTTGAAAGTGTTTATAGGGAGAGGATGTAGCGACGGATTTAAGAGGGTGCTATAATCAAAGATCTTTGAAACATTTTTTGACGCAGTTTTGTGTGTCCAAAACAAGGGTTTAATATTCACATAGGCTGTCCAGATTCTAACAAATAAAATGTGGGGCAAACACAGTGTTTATGTGGGACAACATGGGACAGGTGAACAATGCTGAGAGTTACTGTGAAATTTTGATATCTAAACTAAAATTAAAAATACAATAAATTGTGGCTGATACAGGATTATCATTTAGCTTGTACAGGCTAAACATATCATATTTCCAACAATTTGGTTTGTCCTTATGATCTCAATCAATAGTTGGTATATGCTCAGGCCAATATTCTTTAATTATGGTCAATTGCTTTTGTAAACTTTGCAAACTTTATCCAGTTATGACACACATATTGTTACAGTACTGGGTCTGTGACCCAATATTTATGTTTCAGATTCTGATTTAATATTCTTTGACTTTTGTTATTTCTGGTTTTGGTTATCTTTATTTCTTAAGTTCTTAGTGATGTTAGTTCTTTCTCCCTTAGTATTTATCTGTGTTTAGTCTCTGTTCCCTTGTCACATGTCTGTGCTTTTCCCGTGTCCCACGTTTCATGTATAGTCAACTTTGTCTCTATGTTCCTTATGTCTCCCCAGTCACTGTGTTAAAAGTGTGTGTCTTTGGTTGGTGTGTTTCTCTTTTTTATTTTGATAGTTCCGCTTCCTGTGTTCAATGTATTCAGTTTTGCTAACTCCTCATCTTGTTATGTCAGATTAGCACTAGCTGTGTTTCCCTCCTGTTTCCCATTCCCTCATTACTCTCTTGTGTATTTAAGCCTCGTGTTCTCCTCTGTCCATTGTTGTTTCATGCTACTGCTATAGCTGCATGTTCCTCTATGAGCCTTGCAATGCTTAATTCTAGTTTCTCAGTTTACAAGTTTTATCCTTGTCTCTAGTGTCTAGCTTTTGTTTTAGTTTTCTTGTATTTAGTATTTGAATTTTTGTACACCCAAAATAAAGCTGCCTCCCTTAGTTCACTCTTTCGGGTCGCGAGTCCTGCATTTGGGTCCCATCCTGCCTGCCACACAGCCAGGCCTTGAGACATATACTAAGTGATTTCACACAACATTTCCCCCCCAAAGTGAAAATGAAAAATAACATTGGCAAAAAAGACCAAACATCGATTTCTCAGAACATGCTGCTGTTCCATTTTTGTTTGTGATAGTTTCCATCATATTAAACATTTGCTGCAGCAAGAGTACTGACAGTGACTAGAAACAGAGAGCATATTTCTCCTGTATTGGCCTCCCTTCATTGGCTCCCTGTTAAATCCAGAATTTAATTCAAAATCATGCTCCTCACATACAAGGTCTTGAATAATCAAGCCTCATCTTATCTTATCTGCTGAGGAGTAGGGCATTAGACTGGCTAACCTTCTTCAGACTATAACAAAAAGTTTTCCTTTCATGTACATAGATGTGGGTAAAAACCAGACTAATAAGCGCTAGTTCTAAATGTCCTTTAGAACTAGTCACAGTGCCTCAAGATTTGGGACAGGAGCACAGGGAACAAAAACGCTGTGTCACGTTCTGAGGGACATTTGGTCACCCTCGTGGCCCAAAATTCAAATGACTATCAAGGAGTGCCTTCTTGATCGCCATGTGGTCCCTTCCAAGTGGTTTTGACCACCGGTGCAGGTTGTCTTTTTTTCTGCTGTAAAAAGGTCAAACAAACCTGAAATGCAGCAAAGAAAAATCAATTTTATTGTAAGAGAAATTTTTAAAATTCAGGAATTGTTATTGAATAAAAACACTTTTCAGAATTTCTTGTCTTAAAACAGTTTTGGTCTATATCCAAATCTCTACCATGAATCCCCAGAAATAATTTACACAAAATCATATTGATGGCTTCTTTTTCATGGCCGTAATTTTTATTTTATTTTATTTATTTTTTTGCTTCATTGGGCAATGTCTTTTAAATGAGAACATTTCAGTCCACCAGAAAATGGTTTTCATTGCACTGAGCATTTCATCTGCACATTTCATGGAAGTGACACTGTAGACTTTTTAAAGAAAGTCCAAGTCCACTCAAGGAGTGCTGACTATAAATTTCATGGGGTGACAGCAGAAATATAATAGTTTAAGTAAAACTATAAAGGAAAATGCTTGTGTAAAACTTGACTGGTGTTAAATGCATGCACATTTTGTGTTCCTGTCAAATTGAAGTTAATTGCTTCAACAGACCTGCTTCTAAAAGTTCTTAGTTCTCTTTCATTGGATACATTGCTTGAAGTCAGTTAATTGTATTAAACAAATAGAATATGTATACACATGCTTCAGATACAATCAAAGATGAAATGTGAGATTTCTGTGTGCAGGAAGATTTTTACAGTAATATCTAAAGGCTCAAATATTTGACTTAGAATACAGTGTTAAAAATTGAAATACAATATTAAATACAACTTTATTTGCTTTGCCAGGGCGATTTGGCAGAACTGAAGTGAAACTCCAGGGTCAAGTGTACATTAAAGCATACAATGTATTAATTAGAATGAACTGGACAGCAGTAGTTATTTTTGCTTAAAGCAGGCTGCACCAGGGAATGCACATAATTGAACTGCTGGGTACATATATGAAGAGTTGATTAATTGCTTCTATCAAGAAAATAATACTTTATATTTCAAAATGAGGCACATGCATGTAAATGGTAAATGGCCTGTATTTGTATAGCGCTTTACTTAGTCCCTAAGGACCCCAAAGCGCTTTACACTACATTCAGTCATCCACACATTCACACACTGGTGATGGCAAGCTACATTGTAGCCACAGCCACCCTGGGGTGCACTGACAGAGGCGAGGCTGCCGGACACTGACCCCACCGGGCCCTTTGATCACCACTAGTAGGCAACGGGTGAAGGGTCTTGCCCAAGGACACAACGACCGAGAACCAGCAACC